TGATGAAATCCAGGAAACCACAGAGAAATATGTCTTACCTGGTCTTGACTTGTGCAGTTAATAAGGTATTATTTGGGCAATCCCATAGGTCTGTCTGTGAAACCTGCAAGTCTCTTGCTGCTAAATAACGGTAAGGATGAAAATCACGATTATGTTAGGAGTCCCACTTGCAACAGGGACTTCAACGCACAAATTGTTTTATCAGTCTCGTAATCTGAGTATTGATTTGCTTCCTCTCAGTAAATAATAAAATTCATCTCTTAAGAAAGTGCAACCCAGACAGCCCAGAAACAGCTATTACAGGTATTATATATGAAGACCAAGAAACATTTCCATTTAGAGAGTTCAGCGGTGACACATTTTAATCATTTTAGGAGTGCTTTGTTTTATTCCAGAAATGGCAAATTACGGTGGGGGTGGGGGAAGGGGATGGGGCTGGGGGGTTGGGGGGGTGAGGGCGTGAGGTTGAGAACTGAAAGTGAAACCAGAGTAACTCTGGTTCCCTTGTGCCCACACTGTCATGTTCAGAGGCTGAGACCTTCATCCCTCTATTCTCCCATGTTTCCTTTGCAAGGAAGGTTAAGAATAAGATGAAAGACACCATGGAGAGCACCTCTCCAACAGTTGATGGGATCTAAACTTACGGAGGGTCATTTTGAAGGTTGTTATATCACCTGCCAAACAAAGCTCTTACTTTATAGTTGCCAAGTTGTCAGCTGACTACAATTTAAATGTTTATGTTTGTTTGTTTGTTTGTTTGTTTTGTTGTTCTTCAGCTTGAAACTTGGCTTCCAGTCAGCCTAGCTGTGGCAAGAAATATTATGAAAGTTTAATGGAGAACGTCATTCACAGCACATTTGTTCAGTCTTCTTTTTAATTTCTAAATGCATGTATTCTTATCTATTTTAATGCCAGCCTCTTAGAGCAGACTTTCTTCTTTCTTATGATAGTGCTCATCCTTTGCTTATTAATTCCTTCAGAATAAAACTTTAATCAATTTAAACAGTTACTAATGCACCCAAGAAATGGCAAAGACTGGTGCCTGTAGGTGGTTTCTACTGATTACCATGCCACGTGCTCTTTTCTCTGAAATTGGAATCTGGAATATAAATACAAGTAAATTCATGATTTTGAGTAATTTTGCCCATCTGACCACATGAAGTAGTTTCCAACCTATCATCTGTATCCTTTTGGATTTATTCTTAATATATTTTAAAGCTAACATACAGATATCAGAGCATCCACTGGGAATTCTCATGTTTTGATACAGCAAGCAAAGGTTGAAAATAGCTGTTGTGAATTGGAGAGTCCTGTCCACTTCAAGGCAGCATTATCAAGGGTACTGCTGGTCTGACTCCCTTCTCCACACTTACTGTCTGTCCACCGTGGCTGTTCTGTTTGGGGACTGAACTTTACATGATTTGATGAGCAGAGGCTGTCCCACACAGTACAAAGTTGTCCTGAGTAAAACCCTAGTAATATTTCCATAGATTTTAGGGGGTCTGGATTTCATATTTTGTATAGGCAAAGAATGGATTTCCATACAGTGTTAATCTCCTGATACAAAAAGGATTTAAGATCCCAGAGTGCAAGCAAGAAAGAAGTCAGCATGTGTCTTGATCCCAGGTACTTGTAAATGTTTTCTTGCGTTTTTACTCTTCTTTGTCAGTTAAAGTACAATAGTTAGTTTATCGATTAAGTTCATTTAAAAACTGGAAAAAGTGACAGAGAAGATCCTTGGAAAATAAAAATACAGAAACTGTAACAGCTAAAACGTCTCAGAGGATAAATGTGTTATAAAACTCTCATGTTAGAGCCCCATGTACAGCAAAACATAAGAAATCACCACTTCTTAAAATCGTTTCCATTAATAATGTGTTACTTAAAGTGCAATTTATGGACAAAGTTTTTTGAAATTAACTTTCAAAGGTAGAGTCTTCAACCTAAAATGGTTGCCTGGTATTTAACAATGATCAGCCCTCAGAAAATCTCAGTGAAGTGATTTCTGATTTTTTGTTTTTGTTTTTTGTTTTCAGAATAATAGTGGATATTTGTTTGAAGGTACCATCATCATTGTGTTTGTAGGCAGATCTTGAATTGAAATTCTCCACTAAAACAGGTTTGGGAGCTTTTGACCATCTAACTGGTTGGTGTGAACTATCTCCCTGAGAAGCAAGGTCATGCCAAACAGCTGCAGGTGACAAAGCTAATGCTTTGCCATGGGTCAGAGAAGTTTCTTTGCTCCTCTTTTCCAGCTCCCAGGGAGATCTGTCTGATGTTTGAGGTGAAGTTTAATAACCAAACTCCAGTATCCTGTGTTGATTTGATTATGTTCTTATTTAGTAGGAAAGGAAAGAAAATGTGGGAAGGGGAGGCTTCAGTGTACATTCCCCTGAGACAATAAAGGCAAAGCTGAGATGAAGTGTTTGCTGGAGAGATAAAAAAGGAGGAGAATAGATACCCTGGGATGAGAGAGAAGATGTGAAATTCAAAGCTACAAGTTAGAGAAATGAGAAATCAGCATCTGTGAACACTGCATTACCCCTAGAGAAAGTAATAAATTATGTTATGTTAGCTGTAAGGGTTAAATACTCCATTTTCAAATATTTCTCACAATTTACCCATGTTTACACAGAAATGTCTATGAGGAAAAACTATTGTCTAAGGTTTGGAAAGGAAGAAGAAATTGTGATGAGATTTGACATCCTGAAGGGCTTGTTCTCTGATCACAGAAGAAATGAAGCATTGCATTTTAAAATAGATTTTCAACTGAAAAAATTAATTGGACTTCGCTTTTAAAGCATTTTGAACCCTCTTTGGATACAATATAGTGAACAAACACACAAAAAAGAACTTACGATATTCTGATGTTTGCTTATCTACATGCTATCCTGAAGTATGCCAGAACATAATGTAAATTATGAATAGAACATGGGTGTTTTGCTGTTGCACTACAGGAGGTTAAGTTAGAAGATTTTAGAATTCATCATTTTGAGCCTGTCAGTAACAGGCAAAGCCAAAGGAAAGAACCTGAATGTAGGTCTGCAATTTATTCCCACACAAACTGTAGCCAGGTCTTCTCTGGGGGCATTTTGTCACTGTCTTCCTGTCTCTGCAAGAGCTTAAATAAGAGAGACAGAATAAAAGCCCAGCTGCAGTAAGTCCATTGGCACAACAGGTTTTATCCATGTTGCTAGTATATTGAATACAATAGAAGCTATAGTATTCTTTTTGGAGAATCTGCAAGTGTTATTTTTCTTGGTGCATTAACACAACCAAGCACCCAACCTATGAGTTTTTGCAGTGATCATGTAAGGAGAATCCATATTTTATCTTATTAAATAATGAAACGTGCTCAGAAAAAAAAAACAAACTGTATGGACATTATTTTTCCTCCTTTTGAATCCCAGAATACTATCCTTGAGGGATTCATTTTTTATTGTTTAAAAGGGGTGATAAAGATGCTTTTGTTCCCAGGTCACTGATGTTAGAGATGGGAGAACAGAGAGACAAGTGTGTAACACTTGCTAGAGTAAGTTTGCTAGAGTAATTTGAGAGATTTGAGATGACAATAAACAATGACTGTAAAAGTAAGAATTCCTGAAAATGAGAGAGAAAACATTAAATTGCACCTATTTAAACAATTATTAATTAAACCACCTATTTTTTCATCATATAATATGATTATTATTAAATTCACACATGCAAGTAAGCATGCTCCTTTAAACTGGGGGGTTACTTTTTGGTATAGGAAAGATCTCAGCTCCTGAAAAAAAATGGCCTCTGCCAAAATCCTTCATGAATCATGGTCCTACTGGGCCTCAGTTTCCTCCTTTATAAAATAAGTAAGCAGATTTTTTTCCCCCACTGAGCTGCTGTATTAATATGCATCCTTTTTGTAAATCTGGTAGAAGGATACAAAATTTAGTGTACTTAGGCTCACTGTTGTTCTGAGAATTTTCTATTTTAGACTCTATTTTTTTTTAGATCGGAGGCAGAAGTGGGTCATTCCCTGGTGATCTTAACATGTAATTCTTTCCTTTACACAAAGACCTCTAATTTTGCTGCTTCTCTTCTCCCTTATCAGTTACAGATTTGGCCAGTGCTTGTTTATCAGTACGTATTTACTATAATATGTCACACAGTGGCTTCTGTCCACAGGCTATTACCTTGAACTATAAAATAACTTTCAGCAGTATTTCAGTAAAAAAGGAAGGTTCTGTCACCAAAGACATAGTGATAGCACAAAACATCAGGAACTCTAACCCAATAAACCAAAACCAATTAATCAGAGCCTGCAGCTCAACCCAATTTGCTGTCTAATAGTAGTTTTGATTAGTAGGACTAGAGGCAGAAAAGACATTTTTCCTCATTGCTTAAAAACTGAAGAAAACAAAATACATGTATTTGTTTGACACAAGCCATGCGTACATTGCAGACTAGTTTTTGTTTAAGCTGGCTGTCCTTGAATCACAGAACAACTTTAATGACCATTAGCTGCTCTCTCAGTGATGAAGTAAGTGAAGTCAAGAAAATAGACTGCTATTTGCATTCCCAAACACTCAGCACAGTTTGCTGAGACTGATCAGTTTAAACAAAGAGTAAATTGAAATTCACTCCAACCTCTACCTATTTGGGGAACACAAGTCGGGAAGATGCTTCCTTTCTTATGGAAAAGTGAAACTGCCTTTTGGCACTGTCAGAAAGGTAGACTGTCTTTTATGCATAGGTGCTGGTAGTTTTCATTTGGTGTTGGGAGTATGAATCCAGAAGACATGGGTGTTGCCTGGAGATCGGAGAGTAGCACGTACATCAGCTAAGCAGTCATTACTGCTAATGTGCTGCATGAGGAAAGTGTATTAAAGTCTGTGCCTAATGCAGTGAGAAATAAAAATTGTAGTTAACACATCTTAAACTGAAATGAAACTTGGGACTTAGTAAAGAGAATAAAAGACAGGCACACACTGCATACTGACAAGCATACTGAAAAGCTGCCTTACCTCCATCTAGTTCTTCAGCTCCAAAATGATTCCTGTAGAAGAGCATAATCTCTATCTTGTAACACTTGTAGATAGTCACTAAACAAACAAGCAGCAGCAGAATAGCACCAAGCCCACCAGCAAGCTCAACTGTATACATCAGCTCTGCAAAGAATTACAAAATACAATAACAAACACATTCCAAAACAGAGAAAGATTAGCGGTAGACCTTACTTATGTTAAACAGTAAAGTAAAATAATGAGGGCTATTTATTTATTTATTTTTAATTAGTTAAAGAACCCTTGAAAAAATAACAAGTTAATAGGAACATTTTTCCTTTAATAACATACTTTTTCCTCTGGTACAGTGTCTGGATTGCTCATTTGAAAAAATAACTGTTGCTGGTATGTGTTTGTGCATATATGTAAAAGACAGATCTGATAACCCTCTTCCTTCTCTCTTTCTGTGGATATATCACATTTTGTTTTACACACATAAACGTTGACATTCCAATGAAAACAGAGGTTAATTTTTCTTTTTGGTGGATGATAATTAAAACACATTTCCTCCCTTAATCCACACAGAAATAAGAAGAAGATCTGGTTTTGGATGAGTTTTAGTCTACTGCCTACAAATAAACTATGGATTTTTTTTTCTTCCTAAAACAAACAATCAAACAAACAAACAAAAAGCAAAGAAAAAATAGCTTGAGGGATGTGAAGACAAATTATCCAAGGAATCCCAGAGCCTCACATCTTGGTTACATGTAAATATATTTGACACAGTTTCCCAACAATTTGCAATTCTTTTTGTTCCCTCCTCTTTCTCCAAACAGGGTTTGCTTTATGGTTTGCAAACCAACCCAATCTGTCCCCATTCAGACCAGGATCCCTCTTCTTTTGTGCCTTCTGCCCTCTGCCACTGGTGATTCACATGGCAGATTGAGGTCATGCTATGTAGTTCCCTTTTGAGGATGGGGACTCCAGTCAAATGTAGCCACAACTAATAACAGCAATCTCCTCAGTGGGGTCACTTATCAGTGAATAAATAATATGTCATCATGGGCCTTCAATCCCCTTGTCTTAACCATTGTACACTCAAGAAAACTCACGCAGCTATGTGGCATCCATTTTGTGGCTAGTTTTCCTTTGCTAATCAACTTGAAACTAGCAATGTTAAACAAGGACAGTGGGATTGTTGCTAGAAATGTTGTAACTTGAAATGAGTAATAAATGGCATATCCTAAGACCATCTATATTTTTTCAATATCACTCGGTTCTGAGGAATGCCAAGAAATCAAATCTTGGAAAACTAAGTTGTGCAGTTTTGTTTCATAATGTCTGTGCTGGAGAAAGCTTTGTTCATGTTACTTTCACACCATACTCCTCCAGTGGACAGCTTCTGTCCAAGTGAAGCAGTGTACATGTAGCCCTGCTTTTTTGGCTTTTGTGGTTATGCAGACGTGACACTCCAGCACAATACAATTCAATTAAAAAAATAAAAGGTTATAGGAGAAAGTGACAATTCCATTTATTTTGACTGTCTACTGAGAATCACACATTTTTTTATTATTTTGAGGCAACTGTAAGATGATTTCATTGCTCTCTAGAAGGCACTAAAACTGCAATAAAGTAAAATAAAAAGGCATTTATATTCTGTGACATTCTTTCCAAAACTGTGCTGGAAACTCCTTTGTGTTAGATATTTTCAAGACTGGCATGGTTATTTCAGACTTTCAGTTGTCTTCTGGTCCAGAGAAGGGAATGTTAATAAAATTAACCAAAAAAATAATAATGTTTGCATACAAGTAATTCAGTATTTCACAATATGAATGGAAATGGAAATTATTCTGCACTGGTTTACTATAGCCTGTATATCATTTTGTACTACAGGTGATGCAGCTGTTTAATAGGAACTAGAAGAACAGTTTTTAATATGTTGGGTTGCTAGGTACAAAATGCTCTATGTGCCTGCTGTTGTGACTCATTAAAACTGATGGAAATACAGCTGGAAAACAAAAGTTTTTCCTAAATTAATGATTTTGAAATTAAATGGAAAAAATAACTGCAGGTAGTTAGTTACCTGTTCTCTATCATTGTGCAGGAAATCAGATTAATGCACTGCATCGTTTTTGCCATCAAAGAATCCCTCTTAGGTTCTGTTTTCCCCATAAAATTATTCAAGTCTATGCTTGTATTTTTTCTTTAAAGAAAGTCTATCTGAATATACATGAAACTGTCCTAAATCTACTAGACAAGCAGAGCAAGAAACAAAATTCTCTAAGTCACCCTGGAAAGTACCTTTTTTTTCTGATTGTCTTTTTTTCTGATGTTGCCTCACCCATCATGTTCATGTATAATCATATATATATACATGATATATATACATATACAAGGGGAAAATGATTCTTAAACAGAATTGTTTCCATAGTAAGTTATTTGTTCTTTCCTTCTAACATAGCAAGTTTGTGTTTTCCTCCATGCTGAGCTATGTATCAGTGCATACACGCTCTCTGTCTCAGGTGAAGTTTATAAGGGTCTTGAGTCAGAGAGATACAGTAATTAGCCATCCTTACACACCACTGTGCAAAAGCCTTAGATAGTCCCCAAAGAATAGAAACTAGTGCAGCTGTGTCTGTACAGTGCCGTGAAGGGCAGGACAGATTAGCCTGGGCACAGTGCCACATTAAACAGTTTGCTTTCAGGCCTCAAGCTACTGCAACTGCAGGTTACTGAAGTATGGGACAGGGATACTATCTAGCTTTGAGCTGCCTCAGGAATTTTATGAAGAGCATCAGCCTGTGTTATGCCAAACTGAAGGAGTCAGCAGCAGTCTGGTTTTCCCCTTGTGAGGTGGAGAGGAGGACTCTGACTCCTACCTGGGAGAGGTTACTCCTGAAAGGTGTCTTGTGAGGCTAGTGATGTGTGTGACAGCAAGGATGTAGTAAAGTGTAATAGCAAGGATAGAGTGTAAAGCAGCCTTTGCAGAAACATGATTGTTTTGTGCTGCTTTATTCTGCCTTTTACACTGCAGTTTGAACACGATTGCTACAGCAGGCATTGCACTCCCTTTGAAGTGTGATCTGTTTTTCCTGCTGAAACTCAAGTTTCCTGTAGTGGCTGCACACTAAAAAGATTCAATTTCAGCACAATTCCACATCAGAGCGGAGAGACAAAAACTGTAAACCTTTTAAAACCTATTGCCCTCCTTAAGGAGCTGAGGCTGACTGTAGAAAGTAGTAGAGGAAAATTACTCGGCTAACCCTTAGGGAGACAGGCATTCAGTTAAACACAACAAATGAGCAAATGCCAAGTAGCTACATTCAAAAGCACAGCAATCATCTAGTTACAGGCAATTAACAATAGTCCTCCAGTAGCACAGGAACAGTTCTACTCCAAGGAAAAACACATTGATTACTGCTGCAGTAGTAGATTGGTTTCTGAGTAAATAGCTTCGATTTAAAACAAGATTTGTTACAAGCAGTTTGACCAATGGCTACAATTTTTTTTCCCCCTTATCAGGAGGTTTTGGCCCAGCAACCCAATGAAAGAAAATGCTAATTAAAACAAAGTACATGTCCTTTCTAAATATTCAGTATGATGTGATGGTAATAAATGTACTCATTTTATAGTGATGCTATCTTAATCATTAGGTGTATTTGTAGGATATATCTTTGATTTTACCTGGCTTTAATTTTTGATAAACTTCCTTTCTCTGTGTAAAGCAGGTAATTCACTTATCTTAGCTGGAGTTGTAACAAGAAAGTAAATAAAAGAGTGCTTTCAAAGATTCATACCTCAAGACTTATACAACATGCTTCAGAAACCTAACATTTAATGATCTGTGATAATTTAAAATTAGTCTTATTCTATTAATTAGTCCATATACAGTTGAGCTACCTAGAAAAATAATTATGTTTCAAACATATATACACACATATATATATAGTGATTTATAACTCTTCAAGGACATGTGATTTATAGCTGCGTATTCATTTTCTGAGGCTTTTTCAAAATCCAATTACAGTCTATCTAAGGTTTCAATTTTGCAATCACTTACGCAGATTGCATAACTTCACAGAATATAAGTAATCCTTCTGAAGTCAACAGGACTATTCACAGAGCTTCAGGTTATCCCACACATAAATCTCTGCAACTTTGTGTCTCAGCCTCATTTCCATTCTCTGGTTTTCTTGGACAATTTTACAGGCTTGTTTAGATTCAGTTCTTAGTTTGCCTTGATATATGTTCATAGACTTCAATTATAAAGTGAAACATAAAGGTAATGGGTATAATTTGGAAAGGAAGCAGGTAAAGATAATGCTTACTAAAATTCTTCACTGTTATTTCCTATGATGATGCCTGAGAGAATGGAAAAAAACAGATACTGATAATCAATGCAAGACCAATGTCTCATCAGATGTAGTTTTCTTTATAAAGAGTTGTCTTACTCATAAAGGAAGGAGGAGGCCAGCTAGAAAAGGAATATTCATCTGAATCTCATTTTAGACATCATCAGTTAAAAGAAGAGAGAGATTAGATTGGGAAGACAGAAACCCATACTCATAGTTAAAAAATGGAGAAGTATGATTTTTTTTCCCTCTTTTTCTGAATACAGCATGGCTATAAAGCAATATATCTTTTTAGAGAGAGATCTTTCATAGAAATATAGCATATTGAACCACATCTTTACACAGCATATGCATACACAGTATGTGTGTATATATATATCTATATTATCTATTCTCTACTTTTTGATTTTTTTTTTCATTTGTTTCAAAGAGAAAAATAAACCTGTATTTAAGGAATAAAGATGGCTTTACGAATACTGTTGTGAATAGCCACTAATAGATATCGTTGAAATAATAACACTTCTGATACCAGTAGAAGCAGATTTGGCGTGTTCATTAGCTTGATCATGAAATCATCTCTAAGCACAAAGCTGATACTTTCTGCCAGCATAGGCCACATAAGCCTGTAAATGCCTGCAGAGTTGACTTAAGGTGGGTAAGTTTGGTGATAGTTTTTATTTATTTATTTATTTATTTTCAATGCAGTAGCTTCGTTTTATCTGTCAGAACTATTGGGACACAGTTATCTCACTTTATTCATTAGATTGATATATACTCTGTATATGTATGTATGAGTGCCAATACAAGTTGGGG